CCATTCTGCAAATCGTCTTCAGCGATGGGCCTTGGTACTTTTGGGGTATGATTTCGAAATCCAATATCGACGTACTCTACAATTCGGTCAAGCAGACGCCTTGTCACGACTAATTAATGATCAAGTGGCGGCTGAGGAAAACATGGTGATCGCATCCCTGTCAGTAGAAGACCACGCAGAATGTTATCTGACAACCGCAGTTCGCGCATTACCGGTGTCTGCAACAGACATACAAAATGCTTCTAGAAACGACCCCATCATCAAGATGACGATGAAATATGTCACTAACGGTTGGCCGTCGAAAAAGTTTGAAGGTGACATGAAGCAACTGTATCAGCGGCGGGAGTCACTATGCATCGTCAACGATTGTCTGATGTTTGGTGAAAGAGTAGTGGTGCCAGAATTCCTTCGTGCAAAAGTGCTGAGACAGTTCCATCTTGGTCATCCTGGGATTAAACGAATGAAGTCCATAGCCAGGAGTTATGCATACTGGCCTCACATGGATCAACATGTCACAGCGTTGGTTGAAAAATGCATCCGGTGTCAGCAGGCGGCAAAGATGGATGCCAAAATTCCGCCGGTTTCATGGCCCAAACCTGAGCATCCTTGGTCCAGGATACATGTCGACTTCGCTGGCCCAATAAATGGAACTATGTATTTAATTGTCGTCGACGCCTTTTCTAAATGGCCGGAAATCAGCCCCGTTATGCCGCCCACTACAACTAAGACTATACAGCTCCTAACTGAAATTTTCTCACGAAATGGCATACCAGATGTGATCGTATCCGACAATGGCTCTCAATTCACCTCTTCCCAATTCCAGAATTTCTGTCAACGGCTAGCTATTAAACACTTACGCTCGCCACCATACCACCCGCAATCGAATGGGCAGGCGGAAAGGTTTGTGGATACGTTTAAAAGAGCACTGCTCAAGTCAAAAGGGGAGGGGACGCCAGCCGAAACGTTACAAAATTTCTTGTACGTCTATCGGACAACACCAAATGAATTGTTACCGGAGCAAAAGTCCCCAGCTGAAATCCTGATGGGAAGAAGATTGAAAACGATTCACAGCCTGATGCATCCGACCAATGCACCCTCATCAGTAGAGACAAAGCAGCAAAGACAATCCGCTTACGAGGTGGGATGCCCTGTGTTTGCCCGCGACTACAGAACGAACCATGGTCCTTGGGTAGAAGCGAGAGTGGTCAGAAGGGTTGGTCGAGTTATGTACGAAGTAGAGGTAGGAGGTGATAAATGGTCACGTCATCGCAATCAGATACGCAGACGGCTAGCCCCAGATCGCCCATCAAGAGCAGAAAGCCTTCCCCTTGACATCTTGCTTGATACCTTCAACCTACCGAGAGCCCCGCCACGAGAAGAAACTCAGCAGCAAGCTGTTCTTCGTTCCCGAAGGTATCCCCTCAGACAGCGGCGAACAATAGTCAAGATGCAAGTCAACCACAGGAGAACACGCTATTAAAAAGGGGAGGAGTGTTGGGGATGTTAGATCCCCAAAATTCGCTTGATAATGCCGTATTTCGGTTTTCACGTTCGCCAGCAGGGGCTGATCAAATGACCTTGAGATTTCAATTACCACCAGCAAAATCAATGGCTGTGATTGGCTGCTGTGTATTTTAGTATGCTATTTTCTTAACTGTCTCAAGGACGTTGTTATGTTGTATAAATAAACGAGAGTTGTATGCTTGATTGTACTGGGATTGCTGGGTGCTTGTAGAATATACTTCTACGCCTACAAAGTCTTCTATTTCGATTCTGGGATTCAGGGTAGCCTTCCTGGAAGCTGGTAAAAGTCTCGTTCGCGTTTATCGACTAAGGTAAACTCGTAATAGCCTCAAGCATCCTAAGTGACGAACTTATCAGTTTTATCGCTTTTAACTGTTCATTGTTTGATAATTAACTAACCAACGTTTGCTGATTGGTTGATAGGACGCTCGAACTTGTCAGTACTTTATACATTTCTCCGTTTAGGTATACACACACTCCCCGGTTAGAAAATAAATCCATTTCTTGAAGAACAATTAATCAACTATAATTGAGATTTTGTAATCCCATCCACTTACCCACTAAAGTAAGATTTTTCACCCTTTCCTTCCTTAAACTACTCAAACTTGTCGTTTAATAATATTTTTAGTTCTAAAAGTAATATTACTGGTTAGTATAGATTTGTCCGCCGTAATTGTGGTGGAGTTTCGTTCGTTCTCTGACCTAAATGTTTTGGTTCCTGGAGCTTTCATTGTACTTCATCTGAACAACATCATCAGCAGCATAAATTTCTGATAGCAGAAATGAAGTATTCGAATTTATCCACGTCATTTCATACCTTATTACTCTCCATTATTTGTAACTCATTTGAAACTTTACTTTACCAACTTCTAGTTTCAGTTGTGAGTTTGTCTTGATCTCTTATCTGGATTATTTCCGATTGTTATCGATTGCTATTTCTATTGAATGTGTAATTGCATTCTATCTGTTTACTGAGTAGTTGGCTAAACTTTCCTCTGATTATTTAATCTCCCAAATGACTTCACAAACTGTTTCGCATACTCCTCCAGTACACAAACTTACCAAAAGACTGAAGTTATCATTTTCTATTTCTACATAACTAGTACATTGAACCTCTTAGTACGTTTTTAGTAATGTATGGCTAAAAAGCTTGTTTAGTATAGAGACTTCACACTAATACAGTAACTGCGTAATAGTGTGAAGTAGCTCAAAAAACATTACTCCACGCCAGCAAATCGATTTCCTGAAAATTTATGGACACGTGATTTTCAAATCATAAAATACTCCATATCCAATCAAAATTAAATGATTCCGATATCATTCAACCAATCAAATCTCAAATCGATGAAATAATTTTTACGACTAATTAAATAATTGGTTCAATTGAAAGAAGACAACTGATTACGTATTAACATTTAAACCAAAACATCCAGTTCAGAGAACAAAACTCAACCACAATCATCCAATCGGAGCTACAAGTTTTCTTCACCATTTAAACCTATCACAACCTTAAAATTTATCCTTATGGGGTGGGTACTTAAATAAACTACAGTCAGTTCAATATCTTCCCTCATCAATGTAGTGATCTCACTTGGCTACTACTGATTGGCTGTGTATATATCAATTCGATTAATAGGTTTAAGGTTGATGGTCATTAAATGGGGGAGAGCAAAAAATAGCCAACTCAGTGAGTTATAGGTGAAAAAGTGTAAGTACACAGACACATACTAGCACAGACATATGTATAAATAATGATCAAGGTTATGCGTGAATATATGGTGAGAACAAATGAATAGGTGATTGGAGCAAGTCAAAAGCGTGGGAGTAATTTGTGTCCAAAGGTAGAACAAATCACACAGGCGTATTATAATAAAGATCTGGCACACATTGATTCTATCTCGTCACGATCTCATCAACCACCTTTATAGTCTGTGATACTTGGACTAGAAATATATATACACAAATGATGAGTCCCGTACTAGGACGAAACGTCCGTCTTTCAGTGCTTTCAGGTTTCTAGTGGTGGTCTAACAATGACTAACGATTTCAGTGTGCAAAAACAATGATCTCCCTAACGATTGGCCGACCATTCTGTGATAGTATTGGACTCATCGGTGCATCCATGACCCCAGCATGTGGAAGTCGAACTCACGCGCTAACGCTTAGCCTTTCAAACACTGATCTGGCGTCCGACGGTGTAAATGTCTAACATGAATCATTCCAAAGCATTGTACAACCTCAAGCACTATGTTCGGTGAGTAACTGCCAACACCCAACAGGGTTAAACTTCATTGTCCAAGGTTTGTCATTAGAACTCCGAAAATTTCTTCACGAATCTAGTCACTAGTAGGCACAATTTTATTGTTTCTCGCACGCAAGGGTCCTAGTCTCGATTCTCACTCACAGATCCATGGATTCGCACTGATGATGAGTTACTAAATACTACGATGAGACGGCTATTCAGTGCTTTCAGGTTTCTTATGCTGATCTAAGAATGATTCCTTCATGCTTTCGGTGTAAAATATTAATAATAATAATAATAATAATAATAATAATAAAATAATTGGCAGGCGGCCTATGCTCCATTAGGCGTAACAGGCACCGGAAAGTAAGTAATTTATACTACTACTACTTAGGCAAGATATCCGTTAGTTAACCAAAAGACGGGTGTACTGCGCAGCAGTTCGCTCCGTTCTCCTGTATGGAGGCGAAACATGGCCATTAAGAGTAGAAGATGTTCATAGATTACTAGTTTCCGATCATAGATTTCTTAGAAGCATTGCTCGTGTATCATGGGACAACTGAGTAAGCGATGCTGTTACTAGGAAACGAGTACTAGGTAAGGATGGCAGATCAGTAGATGAAGTGGTGAAACTTCATCAGTTGACGTGGTTGGGACATGTGTTACGAATGCCTAACCACCGACTGCCTCGACGAGCTTTGTTTTGTGGTGTAGGGGTAGGTTGAAGGAAAGTTAGGGGTGGCCAGACCAAAACATGGGAGAAATCCATGAAGTCACTGACAAGTTGACTGAGTCATGTTGGTAGATGTAGGCTACCTGGTTGGGGTAAGCGAGACGAAAGTCATCAATGGTTAGAGACCTTGAACGACATCGCTCAAAACCGTTTGCAATGGTGCAGGTGGATCCATTCTTTGTGCTCTCTCAAATCCTAATCTTCTGGATACTTTAACACCTCTACCTTTGTTTTTCTAACCTTATCTCACTGAATTATACTTCTTGAATAATATCTTCAAAGCCTAGTCTTCTTCATTACTATTAATACTTCTACTATCTTTATCACCATGGAATGTGATTTGACATTCGCGTCTCTGTGTTAATGTGGTATGGCAACATGAACTTATGTACATACATACATAGTTCTACGTTGCAAATGACTGACTGACTACTACTACTACTACCATTAATAATAATAATAATAATAATAATAATAATTGTATTACTAATTAAAATTTACCTTCAGGATTACGAATTTTCACATTGATTGCTTGATTACGTTGATGATTTGTAACTTGTATAGTTAATTGTGATAAATGTGAATCAACTGGAAAACTATAAGTTTTTGCATTTATATTTAATGTATCTTGTTGTAGTATGTGAACTTTACGTGCTTCAACCGCAGCTTCAACTACTTGCATAAACTAAAATACAAAAAAAAGGTGTTTTTTTGAAAGAGTATTCATTATAAGTGAATTTATGTATGGATGTGAAGTATTTTTACGTAGACAACTATTATTAATAAATACTTGCATCGTCTGGTAACTCCGCCAGTAGAACCTTCGGGTCTACTACCGGTTCCAAGCCCGGGCGAAAGGAGTAGGGTTGAACATGGGGGTTGGCGACCCCATCCCACCAAAAAAACTAACTTGCCAAAAAAAACGCTAACCAGAAAAAATAATTCAAACCATTTTAACTCTGCCCTGGCAGTTGGAGGGAGAATTATGACGTCGCGTGATAAAAGCCGAGTTCCCTCGGAAGTCATGGGGTTGATGCCTCTTCTGACAACCAGAGCAACCATTTTTTTTTAGGTACATGGAACGTTCGTACATTGTGGGAGACTGAAAAGATACAACCTCGAGGTGCTCGGCATCAGTGAAACGCATTGGACACAGGTAGGACAACTGATACTAGCTTCAGGGAAACTGCTGTTATACTCTGGTCATGAAGAGGAAAATGCTTCGCATACACAAGGAGTTGCACTGAGACAAGCCCTCACATGGAACCCTCAAGGAAAAAGGAAAAGAGGAAGGCTAAGGAACACACTACGCCGAGAAATAGAGGAAGATATGAGAGGAGTGAACAAACATTGGACAGAACTGGAGAAGGAAGCCCAGGACAGAGTTGGTTGGAGAAAACTGGTGGGCGGCCTATGCTCCATTGGGAGGTAACAGGCTTAAGTAAGTAAGTAAGTGCATCGTCTGGGGCGGAAACTCGGAGAACTACCAAAACCATCATACAGAAGATACAAGTATTTATTAACAGTTGTCTATGCAAGATATTTCGAATCCGTTGGTCAGACAACATCAGTGACAACCTACTGTGGGAGAGAACAAACCAGATTCCAGTGGGGGAGGAAATCAGGAAGAAGCGGTGGAAATGGACCGGATATACATTGAGAAAAGCACTCAAATGCATCACAAGACAACCCCCACTTGGAACCCACTAGATCAAAGCAAAAGAGCAAGGCCAAGGAACAAATTACACTAAGAAATGGAGACAGACATGAGAAGAAGGAAACAAAATTGGCTGGAAATGAAAAGCCAGGCCGAGGACAGAGTAGGTTGGGGAGTAACAGGCGTACGTAAACAAATAAGTAAGTATTTATGTACATTGTGTGATTAAAAAATTAAAATTTCCACTGACTAATATCATACAATTTTATAACTGATTTAAAATTATTATAGCTACGTTTATTTGTCTGTTGTGGAAAAGAACTAACTCAGCTCACAATGTGAGGAAGAAATTCAGATGGATAAGACACATTTTATAGAAATCAAGGTAGACACCAAAAGGAAGTGTGATTGGAAAACATCCTTAGTCGGTTGGCAGCTTATGTTACGGTAAATTCTATTCATATTTGTGAAAGAATCTAAAATTTATTTGTAAGGGTTGATGCTTGATCCATTACATAAGCTAGTGACCATCTAAACTCAGTAGTTTAGTGGATATCACTTTTTTGCATCTGAAACAATCATTTTTGAACCAACATTAGAAACCTAGAAGCACCATTAATCAAAGTTGGACATTAACACCGTTGTATACCGGCTAAGTGGTACAGAGGTTAGGCGGCCGCGTGCAAGATAGAAGGTCCTCGATCCCGCGAGATGCAAGAGAGATGGATACGCACTGCTGATGAGTCTCATACCAGGATGGAACGGCCGTATTTCAGTGTTTCCAGGTTCCAAATGGTGATCTAACAGTGATTAATTCATGGTTCTAATGATATAGTATAAGGGAAATTTGAGTTTGTACACTTTCAAACATTTGTCAGTTAAAATGCAAGGTGGAAAATGTCATACCGATAATTATGGACATACATTCGACTGGAACAATATGAAATATTGGGTAGGAGGAGGACAAAGGACACTAGAAAATTTTTAGAAGCTTGGCACTCAGGCCAATCAGCAATCAACAAACACATCGACATTGACTCAATTTATCAACCAATCAGAAAAATCATAGGTGACATAAGATCAAGAAACAGATCAAAATGGGGGGTGCAATCAAAACAAAGTTGCAAACAACGACAGGACAAAAAGTCAACAGCAACCAATCAAGATCGAGGTTAGCAGAATAATCTACAAGTCAAACGTGTAAAAATTCGAATACTTCACTTCTGCTATCTGAAGTTTCTGCTGATGATGTTGTAGTTCAGAAGAAGAACAACAATGAAAGCTCCACAACCAAAACAACCAGCTCAGAGAACCAAACACCAACACCACAATCATCCATTCAGCTGAACTACAAGTTTTCTCCACCATCTCAAAATCATATAAGTATTTGAGCGTATTTGCATTGTTCACTACGCTTATTAAATGTCTAGCTTATTTTGATCTGAGTATAAATTCTTAGTCATGCCTCCTTATCCAATGAAGTTGGTCAACTGGTTGTTTCCGCTCTACTTTACTGTGCTTCACTTTTATACTTCTCATTCTTATATCTGCCTTAAAATGCGAGTTTATGAAATAAATTCATCAAAAACAAACCATATTGGGTGTGATAATTATCGCCATCAGACAAACTGGCTTCATCTAAGGTGAAACTACAGAAATTCGATGAAAGATTTATTTCACAGCATAGTTAATTGCTCATACAACTCGGAATCAGAACCCCGGACAACTAGATAGTCTTCTTTAGTGATTTGATGTCAGTTTCAAAATATTATCATGTTATGAGGCATATCCGTCACTGCTTATAATGTTTGTAACCTAAATAACTGTTGGGGATGTTAGATCCCTAGAACTCGCTTGATAAATATCTTTATTTTAGATTTATTTCATGGACCGATCAGTTGACCTTGATATCACATTTCCCACTAGGAAAATCCTTGGCTGTGATTGATTACTGTGTGATTTTAGTGTACTATTTTTGTGAATGTCCCAAGGACGTCTCTATAGAGTATAAATAAACTCCATTTGAGTGTTTGGATTCATTGTGTGCTGGCTGAGTGTTTATAGAATACAATTTCTACAATATATCAAGACTTCTTGCTGGTACAATTTGGTCAAAGGATCACAGTGGCCTACCTGGACACTGGTTCATTGTTTTGTTCTCGTTATTCGACAAAGGTGAACCCGTAGTAGTTTAAGCATGCCTAGAGACGAGCGTAACAATAACCATACTGAGAGAAATCTTACAGGATGCATATTTGCCAAATAAGATTGATACCATTGAAATCTTTAACATCAATGCGTAGATTCAAACAATCAAATGCTAAAGTAACGTATGCTTGAAATTAATCTACAAATAATCCACCAATGAAAATCAGGTTTTGAAAGTGACCAATCACATTGTAGTTTACACATTTCAATGCCGATCACAATGACTATAAAACGTGAATGGAAAATGATAACACAAAGATTTAAATCAAATATCTTTTACACTCACTTCATTCACTTGACCTTTACCAATAATATAAAGTTGACCAGAGCTAACTGTAGCAATTTGACGATAAGCTTCAAAACCCGGTTCATCCGTTGTATTACAAAATCCAGTTAAAACAAATACAACCTTTATAAGAAATAATAACAATGATAAATTGAGATTAAATTTCGTGTCAAAAATGTCAAAGGTTTTTTTTATAGAAGAGAAAAGTATAGGGTCATAGAGATGAGCTTAAGGCATTTCTATTTAGTTCCCTGTCATGTTTGGTATGCGGTTCTCTGCCTCAAAATGTAAAATATTGTTTCAGGATTGGTTTGCATAAGCACTTGAACTAATAATAAGGAGTGAAATAGTTGAGTGCGTCGACAGCTTTACTTATTTTAGTGGTCTCGTCAGTGCTGATCGCCTTGTTTCTGAAGAAATCTTTACCTGGATACAGAAGGTTCAACTGACTTTTCTAAATCGCGTCACTTACGACGTAGGTGGGATGTCCGTCTACTAACCAAAGGACGATTCCACTGCTCAGTAGTTCACTCCGTCCTACTCCATAGGTATGAAACATGGCCAGCCAGAGTAGAAGATATTCTTAGGTTGCTGGTTTTCGATCATAGGTGTCTCCGAAGCATTGCTCATGTATCGTGGGACAATGGAGTAAGCAATGCTGATGTTAGGAAACGGGTACTAGGTAGGGATGACAAATCAATAGATGAAGTAATGAAACTTCATCAGTTAGAGTGGTTGGGAGGTGTGTTGCTAATGTCCAACCATCAACTGCTTCGACGAGCTATATTTTGTGGTATAGGGGTAGGCTGGAAGGAATCTAGGGGCGGCCAAACCAAAACATGACACAAATCCATGAAGTCATTGACAAATGGACTGAATCATATTGGTTGAACATTTTATAGAAAGTAAAACAATAATTTCACAAACTGTAAACAGATTTCCAATAAACAATATCTTCTATAAGTGTGCTGTGGTTGTAAATCTAAAATAATAACCCCATATAAATTTATCCCGATGAACAAAGACTGTTCGTCTTCTCAAACACTGTAAAAGGTCTGAACAGATTTCTCAAAATGTTATATACGGGCTAGATGAATAACTGAAAACTAATTATGCTCTGTTTTTTTAGTTCGCCTACAAAATATCATTCCACAAAGTTAAGTTTTGTTTGAGAACCACGGATTTAAACATATTGTGGTGCGCGCTACTTATAAGTAGTATACGAACGCGAGTGTAAACGTAGTGTCTGGCAGCCGAAGATGTGGGGAAGATCAAGAAAGGAAGAGTGGGAATACAATGGAATTTGTATGAAACCTATGAATAAGTGAAATGTCAGACAATGGATTGATGATGGGTTTAAGATGTGCAAATTAACCGTTTACGATATGGTTTTCCTATTTAACTGAGTAACTCAGTAATTTTCGTTAAATACAATTCGGTTGCCCTCACCTGTGTTCTCGTTCACTACAATAGGATCGATTTATCTGTTAAGTAGATTTAACAATATGATGCTTCCTTTATCTTTGCGTAAATCAATTTCTGATTATCATTTTAAACATTTTGAGTAATATTGAAAAAGTTATTCCTACGGCGGTGTTTCATTCTCTGAGAAGGGAATGTTTTGGTTGTGCAGCCATAATTGTTCGCCTGTAGTGAAGGAGAACACAAGTGAGGACCCCTTCACACCCATCAGCTCTACTACGGCCTCAAACTCCTCCAGGAAGCTCCGCATATCTCTGCCCTCAAACCCCTTCGGCCACGGGAGCTCGTTCCTTCGTGCAGGCAGCGACACCAAATGTAGTGAAGGAGAACACAAGTGAGGGCAACCGAATTGTATTTAACGAAAATTACTGAGTTACTCAGTAAAATAGGAAAACCATATCGAAAATCGTTAATTTGCAAAACATCAGTTCATCATATCGAACTGGACTGTTCCTGTTGCAAACAACATCAATCCATTGTCACCTCTATTCATGCGTTTCATACAAATTCCATTGTTTTCTAACTCTTCCTTTCTTGATCTTCCCCCATCTTCTGCTACCAGACATTACGTTGACACTCACGTCATATACTACTTATAAGTAGCTCACACCACACTCGTCCCCCCTTTTAATAAGCTGTCGTCGTAGTCTTTCAAAACAGGGACCCTGGTCAGTTAATATCACCTTCCGTATTCCGTGACACGCTACAATATGCCGGATTACTACTTCGGTCATTGTTCTTGCCCGCTGGTCTGAAATGGATACGGCATCTATCCAACGTGTAGCGTTTACTAGTTCCCGCTGCTGGGACACGGCGGCAGGCACACTCTCGATAAGTTGCGACGCCAACAACTGTGCCCCCGACTCCTCATCGATATTCGGCGGAGCACTGCGCAACATTCTGATGAGCTCCTCAGCAAGCATCAGCGGGTCATCATCAGCCGACAGCCTCGCCAACCGGAACCTCTGCGGCACCTCCTCCCTGTCCACCGGGCTGTCGAACTCTGCCATCAGACGCCCGATGAGCGTCTCCCACGCCATCTTCCCGGCGGCACCGTCCAGGCTGTCGTATTTATTTATCAATTAAAAATTTTTTCATATCTATATATATACTACTGATAACATTGAATTACAGTAAACTTACTTGACTTTGTTTTTGTTGTATTAAATTTAATACTTTCTCTGTACGATTATAATCTTTTGCACTACTATCAGTGAATACATAAATTAATGAATTTGGTCTAGATGCTTCCAACGCCAATTCTATACCGGTGATTGTCATTTCTGGACAATCACCACCACCTTGTGTATAAACATTATCTAAATATTCATAAAATGTTTTAGTTGATGTTGTGACTTTAGCTGGACCAACATCTGCAAATAAAATCAATAAAAATAATAAGAAGATTGATATACATTTGTTCAGTATAGAATGATAAAGATGGTTGAGTGTTATGTTGATTGAGGAATTGATCAGTGTTAGAGTAGTACTATTAGAAACTAGGAAAGCCGTTGGATGGGCATTTCATCTTAGTATGGGACTATTCATCAGCAGTAGTGTACATTCACGAACTATGTTTGCGAGAATTGAATATGCAAGACATTGTTTCTTGCACGTGAACTTGTAGTGTGTCAATTTACTGCGTGTTCTTAAGCTCGGGCTAATTAGCTCGTCTAGACAATCGTTGCTAACTAGCATCTGACGGTTTATAAATCAGAAGGCGAACTCGTAGTGATGAATACGTTTATTTTTGGACACACCACAAAGTGAAGCGGAGAAGCAGTGAATAAGACGAATGAAGCGAGGTGAACTGGAGAAGGCTGTTGAGATAACTCCAAGAGATAGAGAGCATGACTAAGAATATATAGTCAGATAAAAATCAGACAGACATGTGAAAAACGAGATAGGCATGCATAGACATGAGTAAAAGCGACGAATAGTTGACAAGGTCAGATGATGACAAGTGGAACACACGTCTTGTGAACTCGCAGGGATATTAAGAGATTAACATTAAATCGAATAGGATGAATATGCGCGTAAGTGTAAACAATGCTTATAATCAGGCAAGCTCATACAAACCACACAATAATAAAATACCAATGGTACATATTATAAGTTATTGTTGCAGTACAAATGGCTTGGTTAAATATACGTTAATCAAAAAGGCTTAACCAGATTAAATGTAAGCGAACTCGAATATATATGTGGAGGCACTGCAAACTCTCAACCCCTCGACCACCGAGCCGGCATTCAATGATGTTAGTAGTGTCTAATTTTATTCAATCCATGTTATTGCGCAACCTGACTCATTGTTTGTCGTTAGGTAACTAACTGCCTACACACGACAGGGTTGAACTCAACTGGTCACCGCTTCTCACTAGAACCCTGGGAATTTCCTCACGAAATTAGTCACGAGTGAGCACATGTTTATGATTTTCATCATAGAGTTATGAAGATATTTAAAAAGTAAAACCTTGATTAAAACAACGAAGAAACTTTGAAAATATTAATCAAAAAGCAGTTTTATTATCTAAAAATAATTTTAGTGAAAAAAATCTTGAAAACTAGAAACTATTCACTAAATAATTTTCAAGTTCTATAAGTATAGAGGTTGTGAGGATGTGTTGAATTCTAGAAAGATTAAAAGTTGGTTTATATTGTAGTGAACGAGAACACCGGATTGTATTTAACGAAAATTACAGAGTTACTCAGTGAAATCGGAATACCATATCGTAAATCGTTAATTTGCAAAATATCAGTTCATCATATCGAACTGGACTGTTCCCGTTTCAAACAACATCAATCCATTGTCACTATTCATGCGTTTCATACAAATTCCATTGTGTTCTAACTCTTCCTTTCTTGATCTTCCCCCATCTTCTGTTGCCAGACATTACGTTGACACTCACGTCATATACCACTTATAAGTAGCTCGCACCACAATATTAGACAAACACTGGAAGAACACTGAAAGAAGTCAGTAATTATTTCGTAGAAAAGTTGTGGGTACTCACCAAAATAGATATCAAGATATCAAACTTGATAAGCTCAAAACTTTTCAAATGAGTTGAAATCCAAATAGCTCATATTCTTAACTTTAGATAGTTTGTGATGACAGCCTTTACTTTTGTAGCTAATTACATAATAAAATGGTATTTTATTCAATGATCAATTATGAAGAATTCCTTGATATTGTGGTGTGTGCTACTTAGACGAACGATATAAGTAGTAGTATAAGAAGGGACGTGAAAGAAGAACTCTCACGATCACTAGAGGAAAACGGTAAGCAAATGGAGCAAAAGCAAGAAGTAAATGGAGTACCAACAGGAAGTAAAGGAAGCAACAGCAGGAATGGAAGAAGGCTGGAGCGTTGGAAGTCAGGACTCAAAGATGGTGTGCAAACAGAGTGTGTTCAATGTAATGTTTTCGTTTTTACAAGTGTAAACAATCAATCTCTATGGCATATATGTATATGGGGCGGATTGCCATCATATTGGCATTATCTGACAAACATTATAAGCAGAGATGGATAGCTGTCAACAATTGAGTTCATGATATGGTCACCGAATGATATGCTTGAATGTCATTATGAGTTAAGCTTACACTCAGTAAGCAGAACAAAAGTAATGACTCTGTGACACGATAGGCTATTCTAGTCCGTTCTCCCAGCCCTGCTAACTAAATCAAGAAGTTCTTGATAAGGCGTAGAGAGAATGTATTCTACAAGCACTCAGAAAAAACGAGGTCGTTAAGCACACAAATCAAGCTTATTTATACAATGATAGAAACGCCTTTGGCGAGAGACACAAATAGCGTACTAAACTAGTCCATCAACCAATGATAGTCAAGTATTTTCCGAGTGGGAAATGTAGGCTTAAGGTCAACTTAGCGTCTTATGCGCGAAAACATTAAGTTCGAAATTTCAGGATAAATTTACGAAATTAGGACCCTTTACAAGTGCGTTTTCGGGATCTAACGTCCCCAGTAGTTCAAAACCTACAATTTTTTTCCCTATTTAGAACTCGTTTGATAAATGTACTTGCATCTCAGAGTTGGTGTTCACTCTTGAGCCTCGAACGCGGTATCGTTTATTTCAAACGCCATGAAGTTATTCACTTAGCTCTTAAGTTCAAGCAACCATCAAAACTTACGCTCTGGATTACAATGCTAGGCATTATCTGTCTTTGATTATAACTGAATAATTGCACTGCGGGGTTGTTGTAAAGATTGTTAAGTTTTATTTATAACCATGTATTGATCAATGTTTACATTAACACCGTCAGATACAGGCTCAGTGGTCTAACGGTTAGAGCGTTCGCGCACAATACCGAAGGTCCTGGGTTCGAATCCTGCGGGGTGCAGGAGTCGTGGATGCGCACTGCCACTGATGAGTAGTCCTAAGCCAGGATGGGACGGCCGTCCAGTGCTTCCAGGTTTCTAATCGTGGTCTAACTTTGATATCGATTCATGGTTACAAATAAAACTGAATGATTGTTTTAAATAATTTAATCGTACGTCAATAAACTTGTAAATTCATATTAGCTAAGGCAATATGTATATCAATAAGTTTTCATTGGATCAAATAATGTCATACAGATATTTTCAGATACGTTATAGTTTGACTACATTCAAAATAAGCGTTTTATTTATATCAAGTTTCAAAGTCATCTAAGAAAGAGTTTATCAAAACTCTCTATAAAATATTGAGTTTTAATCAGTATCCTAATGGAAATCATGTGAATATCATACATCATGAGCTTAAGGTTATTTCAGATAAACACAACGAAAATTTATTTGTTAACAAATGGTTTAAGTGTCTATCAGTAGTAAGTTTTACTTCATTTAGATTACATAGAATAGTTGAGATATATCAATAAAGATTATAATGTTATTTGATAAGAAATGACTCTTTCTTAAATTTGCAATGTAACTCCACCTGAAGACTATATCAGGTTATTGCCAGTCTCAAGTCTGGATAAAAGAGATGGGTTGAACATGAGATTAACAACCCCATTCTATAGAAAAGTAACTCGTTAAAAAAAACGCTGACTAATGACTCCGTGTGAAACCTTTTTATTGATAGATAACTTATCACCTAAGTGCTAATAGGTGCTAATAGTCGGTGACCAACAATAGGTTCACACGCTATTCATCCTGCCAGGATACCAAACCGATTAATGGATGGACATTCGACTTTTGTCTTCTCAACCCTGATAACTGTTAAAATACTTATCTAGTTTGTAATGATACAATGAATATGATAAGATGTGAAGACTCAATTACATAGAACACTTGTTCCTAATGCATATTGCATCTGAAACATCACTTATCATGAATTTATTCTGTTTGATTTTGCTCAAAGTTACATTTGAAATAAACTGAGTCATAAATGACACGTTGAATAATAAGCTCGTTTGAACCTCAACAATGCTTGAAATAATCAGGAATTTGTAGTTCTCCGGTTTTTGTTTTAAGTAATTTTTGACACAATGAAATCATCAGCCAATCATTGTTAGACCACAGCATTAGAAACCTGGAAGCACAGAATAGACGGCCGTTTTCTCCTAGTATGGGACGTATCAGCAGTGAGCATCCATGACTACTGCGACTTGCCGGATTCGAACCCAGGACCTTGTGATGGTGTAGATTTGTAGCTCAGGTGGATGATTGTGGTGGTGTTTCGTTCTCTGAGCTGGTGGTGTTGGTTGTGGAGCTTTCATTGTTCTTCTTATTCTGAACAACATCATCAGCACAAACTTCAGCTAGAAGTGAAGCATTCGAATTCCTCCACATTTGACCTTCATCTTTTTCTATTAACCTCGATCTTGATTGGTTGCTGTTGTCTTTTGACCTGTCGTTGTTTGAAACTTTGTTTTGATTGCACCCCCCCCTTTGATCTGTTTCTTGATCCTATGATTTTTCTGATTGGTTGATAGATTGAGTCAATGTCGATGTGTTTTTTTGATTGCTAATTCACCTGAGTGCCAAGCTTCTAAAAATTCTCTAGTGTTCTCTTTGTCCTCCCCCTACCCAGTATTTCAACATTGTTCCAATCGAATGTGTGTCCATAATTGTCGGTGTGTATTGATATAAGCGAAGCGTTGTCGTGGCGTTTGACTGCTAATTGATGTTCACGTAAACGGCGCTGAAGAGGTCGTCCACTTTGTCCTATGTAGTGTTTTTCACAGTCTGAGCAGTTGTTTATTTTGTAGATGATATTTGACTTTTCTTCATTTGTCATTTTGTCCTTTGGTGTCTACATAGGATTGATTGAAGTGATTCTGTTGGTTTGTGTGCCACACCTATTGCAAATGGTTTCAGTAGTCGAGCTGTATGCTCCGATATGTCTTTGATGTATGGTAGGATGATGCGT